ACTCAATCGAGACACCCATCCACCCCGTCGACCATCGCAAGACCCACAAATAAAACTCAATAGTTATAAAAAAACTAGCAGAAATGCCAAATTAATCCTTTTTCGTAGTTTTCGTTTTTCGTAAGTTCAGAGTTATGTCTTGCCCTGGAACTGTGCTGTAGAATAGATGATTTGGCGGAAGATAGCGATATGAGACAAAAATCTACGCTCTCACCACCTTATATTTTCCTCTCATGTGCAGCTCTGCCTAATACTTAACCAGTATTGTATTGTAATATCAATCGCGCCGAAGAGACGACACAGGTATTTGCCAAAGATACGCATTTTCTTTATTCACACCGTTATTGTTGGGTAGGGAATGTGTTGGTACCAACATTTTACAAGTATTCATGATGTGCTTGGGTGAAATCCAAGCCTAAGGTGCCAATTAAAGTCCCTTAAGACCGTTGAGATTGATTAATGGCTAATGTGAGGTGCAAATCAAATGAATAGGCGTACGCATAAGCTTTTCGATGCACTTAAGTTCATTTAAATCTGATGAGCTGCTATTAACCACAATTACTATCCATGGCCTTTGCAGCTTTATTTGGTTTCAAGTTGGCATTGAAAATTTTATCATCTAGCCATAAAATAGCCATTAAGGTACTTCGGTACTCATCATTTCACTACTTGCTCCTTCATTCCCACTAATTTCCATCCTCTACTTAACTAAATTGGTTACATGCCCTTTGATTTCGCAAATCTAATAATGATGGCCTGGTTTGATCCATAATAGAGGCAGAAAGAAATGCCTTAAAATCAGACGCATCCATCACTAACATAATAGCATGAAATTTACCATTCCTTCCACACACAGTAGTAGATACCACGACTTCGAGAAGTGGATTTAACTCAACACTTAATGATCACTCACAAGAATGTGTCAATCACCTTTGAGGTGCCTGGCCTGGTTGGACGCAAAAGGGGCTTCTGAGGAAGTCCGTCACAGGAGTAATCACTCGAGGGTGGGACTAGGACCCACTGCGGCTCGAACGACCTTAATTGGGCACAGATTAACCTCTGGAACCGTGGCAAGAGTTAAGTGTCGGATTCGAGAGGAGCCGCTGATAGACGTGAAGTAGAACCTCGATGGTCGAATATGCGACATAAACGCTGTGGATTTGTATTTTTTAAGGAGATATGCAGAATTACTTATGTTCATGGAGGAGGAATTGTAATAAAAATACTATCAGTTCTGGCGAAGTTTTCCTACACAAAAGCATGTCAACTCAACTCGATTTAGAAGGGCTACGTGAATCGTAAGTAGGTAAGTCAAGAGACACCAATGAGGCAAATACTTAAAGAGATTTGTAGAAACTTCCACCTCTTCTGATCCATGCACAAAAGAGCTATTTCTACCTCCTTGTTTGCGATCGCGCCTGCTCATCGTTAATGCGAAATCGCATGAAAGTGGACAGCGCTTTCTGGTCTAATTCTGGATGCAGTTCAAATTCTCCTTAAAGTTATCGAAATGTGCTTCATAAAAATGGGTGCTGTTAGATGGAAAATTAATGCTATAATGGTGGGGTTTGGTGTTTAGGCACCTTAAATTTCACAAGTTCGATAACTATTCCCTTCCTAAACTCCTTTCGCTTTGATATGTTAGTTGGTAAATAGGGATATAGTGCGGATTTAATCTACGGGTTTTTATGTAAAAAAACCGCAACCTCACTTTGGTGACGGGGTTTGGTGCATAGTTGGGCTTTTTAGCGCCCTCATGCATATCAACGCATCCATTTAACTCAGACATGAAATTACGTAATAAAGACTTAAGGAATATATATCAACGTATTTAATGATCTTCCTTTTTGATTTTATAGAATGGCATAAATGGCATGGATTTTACAACAATGCATTTTTTGAGTAGGCACAATGTCGTTCTTATAACACCGCTCTCTTGCAGCACTTTGTAGGTAATGCGGGTCCACATACACCTCGCCGATCCCATTTTCCTCATCAAATGTTCTTACAGGTGGAACTTCGTTGGTACTGGTAGTTACGATGTCGGACATCAATGTTTTAATTGGTATAAACGAGTTACTTTAGCTCCTACCACCATTCCCACCACACTCAACACGCTTTCTTAAAGCGGCATCGAGCACTGATTTACTCCAGGAGATTCATGAGACCGAAATCGTTTGGCAAAATTTTTATCGCCTACACTTAAATAACCACTTCTTCAAAGCCAATTTGACAGTGGACACAGAAGACCGTCTTTTCATCTAGTGTCTAAGCTTCGCCACTTCCGCTGCTTGGCTTTATTTCACTTCTTGAAAATGGATAGTTACATGCTACTTCGGATACTAGACCTACCTACCCCATCAATTTTCTTGTTTATCTCCCCCTTAATAGGTGCTTTTGTTTTTTTGAGAACAAATCGTAAGTCACGCACCCCCACTCTTTCAGAGATTGTTTTGTTCATGCTTCATCCATTAATGTAGTAAGTGGGTGGCTTGCAAGTTAAAAAGGAAAAAGTAATCCTTGATTCTCTGCCACCTCCCTCCTTTGGATTTTTTTGTACTGGTTGTTTTGATTCCGCATTCGTACTGAATGATGGATACAAGCATCTATTATTCGCCCTTAAGGAATTTGCATCCCTAAAAATGTATGGTTTTCCCAAAATCAGCATCTACAAGTGCCAACGTAAAGGAGACAAAAGTTATACGAATAATGAGTGGTGCTACGAATTCACATGCTATCTTGTCACATCTTAGTAGAAAAGGTGTTAATTGTTGTGACGGTTTACTCTTTTGTTATTTGAATAGTTAAAGTCAAGTAAAGGCATTGTAGGATTTTGGCGGTCTTTTAGCTTTGCCTTTTGTCTACGTGTGTGCTTGGGCTCAATCGCTCGGTATCTTGAAGCCTTCTGGAACCCAGTATCCTCCTTACTGCCACATTCCTATAGCTTCTTTTGGACTCAAGAAATGGTTGAGCTGCTAGGATTGGCCCTTATTCAAACAAGTGTTTAAAGTGAATGCAGTGAGACCAATAAGCAGCTGACCATATCACTTGTATGGCTTTGATAAGTTAAACCGAATTTCCACAGAATGGGGTAGAGTCATTGAACTTAATGTTAGCAAGGGTCTGTTAAGAGTGGGCAAAAGAGTAGTCAGAGGATTGCGGATTAAGAAATTGGGCTCTTCTGACACTTTGATTAGACGACGTGCTGATAGTTCTCTAGACCACTACAGGACCTGCTGCGCTGACAAAAGAGTTAGAAGTCGGCTTAGAATCTGGCCGCGTATTAATATCCTCAAATATTGGCAACTTTTTCATGAGTATTATCAATCACAACCAACGAATTAGTATTTAAAATAGTATATAAAGCTTTTCTGCACTAAATAAGTCCCTGATTAGTAGTGAACTTTAATATGGGAAAGGTCAGCAAGTAACCGTGCAATCAACCATTTGGGTCAGGTTGACTAGATTATGCAGTTCCCCATCTGTGCTATGTATAGGCTTTTAGGGGTAAAGTATATGTAAAGACCGTTCCCAGATTAGTTAAGATTAGTGATTCCCTCCGAGTAACTTCGTAGGCCCTTGCAATAAAATGAACTTAAGGGTCCTACTATCCACCTCTTAAAAGCTTCTCATGGGAGTTGGGCAGTTTCAAGTCGAGGTGGGACGGCATTATCCATGAAGAGGTGGCCTTTAAAAAAGGGAATTTGTACCAACTCCACCCGACAACAACAACTCTTGACTAATTTTGTCCAGCAATCATCATGTTTTAGTATGACTTCATGAATTTTATGGCGCTAACTGCCATCGCCATATGAATTTTTAGCGTTTTAAAACAGGATCGCCGCTAAATTACGTGAATTTGGGTTCCCTGTAGGGCAGATGGACAAGAGTTTGGATTTCTCCATTGTAAAACAGAGAGGAATGGAAAGACTCCTTTGATGTCATACCTTGTATTAGTGCAAATACTGCAATCACGACAAGGCATTGCTTCCAGAAGTCGGAACAACCTAGCTCCGACCCATTTCTTCCATTCGCACTGTTAGCTTTAAAGCATAGATAGTGTACAGCATGTAATCATCTGGTGCTTGTAATAAGAAAATGCAAAAGCCATGATTATAAGTAGCAGAGGAGGATTGCAAATAGAAGTAACGAAATCAGTTTACTACAGTTTAGACCGCCCTTTTGGAAAATGAATTTTTGCAAGCATCGCTTTAATTTGTAGTTAATACATGAATTAAATCATGGTGCTCTGACCCTCATTAAGTTTTTAATTCATTCGCCATGCATTACCTAACAAGAAACACTAGGATTTGCCCTAGATGAGGGGAAAGTGCAGGTTAACTTGGAGCTTGAAGTTGAGCCATACAACACTTTCCTCCATGCGATGTTTCATTTGTGAGTCCATTCTCTTTGAATGCTTACAAGCAGCTAATTAAGGATAGTTTTTAGGTCAAAGTCTTGGAAAGTAGTTTGGCTTAAACCAGAGAGTAGAGGTAGAATATGAGCCTCCTTTACTGTATGTGGTCCGGAAATTGAGTTCTAAAGATAAACTGTAAACACGGAACAAATCGTAAGAAGGACAGCAAAATGAATGTAATTACGCTAGATCCCTTATACAAACCATGTCCAAATTAGAATAAACATCTTAGGGCCACATCTCATAGGTATGCAACCACCTCACCTTTCCAAAATGCTGCACAGCTAGAATTTTAGAATGGCAATTTTTCCTCTACTAAGGATTTTAGCCAGCTTTCTTCGCGTTTTACACAGCAACGTCCATAGACAGTTTTGCAAAGTACATTCAAGACATCCTCTGCAAGTCTCAAGTCCGGAAGCAAATTTTGTACACGCTGTTTTGCACCGCATGACACCTAGCACCGCACTCTTCAATATGGTCGCGACCTGAAAATTGGAGGCTAAAGATTGTGAACGTTCCATTGGTCAGCAAAGCGCCAGTTCACATTGGTAGGACACGGCCTTGGACACAGTCACACGCACAAATGCGCGCCTGTCGTCAAAAGCGGCACACCACTGTCGATATGCTGAATGGAGCTGCCACCACATCAGTCAATCTTACTCCAGCCTCAAATGTGGCTCACCACATCACCGATATTCATGCCATACTCAACAACAACTCGGGCAATGAGATTCATCAGCCACATTTTGGCGATGATAGGGGCAAACCTTTTATCTCTCCCTCTACTGCAACTCTCACGTCGGGCAGTTCTGGTTCTCCAATCACTGTTCTCCTCACTAATGAACGAGATGAAGACGAAGACGTCACCAGCCGAATAAGTGGCAATAATGGTAGAAGAGAAAACACTCCAATACCTTCAGCTGTACGCAACCGTCCTGGATTCTCCCTGTCCTACCCACTGTCCAGAATGTCCCAACCCAGTCGCGTGGTTCAACCGCCTAAACAGGATACTCCGCCGATCCATCTCTTGAAGAGTTTTAAAACTACCTTGTGGATTGACAGGGTGCTTCTCCTGTTAGGTGTATTTTTACCCCTAACTTTAGGCATCTGTTTTTTCCTTGTCCACTCCTTCACAGAATTTGCTAGTTGTCGACCGGTCAAGTTGATTGTTGGCTCTTCCAGTAGATTCGTTAATCAGGTGTGCCGAACGAAGCTAATCCAGGTAATTCTTCAGGGTGCAAAGGATGCGGATAATGATGAGCGCATTGTAGGAAGCCTTCAGCATGAGTGTTTTCCAATAATTTTGATCCTCATTGCATTGCTGAACTGGATGCCACATCTATGTTGGAATATGGTGATTCGACACTCCATCTATCGAGATGCCTCGCTAGTGGCTTCTGAACTTAGAAGCTTTAGAAAAACTGCTCAGCGCGAACTAATCTCCATTGCGTCGAGTATCAACACCGCCCCGATTAGTTCCAACTTCATGCCGATGATCCAAGAAATCAGATTCAAGAATTCTACCCGTCCACTGTCTACCCAGCCTCGAAGTAGCGAGGAGACAACGCTTTTAGAACCAGCGCAGAACTTCCAGACTCCGAAGATGGATAATACAATCTCCCCTGTTGACACTGGCTATGAATCAGATATGGATCTGCCTTCTGCTGCAGTAATGCATTTACCAAGACTGCGAGTCAGTCGGGATGACCATGCACTTAACATATTCCTCTCTGGTTGGCAGAACACTGATTTTTACATTCGCCGATTCATTGCAAAACACACAGTCCTCGCCCTGTTTAACGCAATCACATTCTCTCTGGTTTTGGGTTTCTCAGTGGTCACCTACGGGGAACCTTTTTCGGGAAGTTTCTACTGTCGTCCAACAGAAAAATCCACCACTCTTTACATCTGCCTAGCTTCAACAACGTTCGCCCTCAACATGACGGCTTTCTGCCTTGGTGCCTTGGGGCTTGCTGGCTTAATCTGTTCCGGCGTTTTCTTTTATCAAAATTTCTCACATAATCATGTCTACAGTGAGTCTACACTTGCCTGCGGCACGAATTTTGGTCTTGAAGCTGAGCTCGCTACAAACTTGGTCAGTCGACGTCAAGAAAACTTCTTCTCCGATTACGTTCGTCTACTAGCACTTGCCCGAATGCAGCAACGAGGTTCACTATTCGTTGCAAGAAGAGAAGTCTTCAACCTCCGGCTCTCCTACCTTTTAGGGCTCGCACGAACAGATTTTCACTTTATAAATCTTCTTTGCAAGGAGAACAGTCGGCATCTTCCTGATGCGATACAACTACGAATCTGGCTTCTGCGCTACGTTTTTCTATGTCGACGTCTCGGACCTCGTGTCTTTGGACGAAGTGCCCCAACCTCAAGTAATAATGTGCTTTGTGAGGATCTCTCAACGCGGTTGGGGTTTAGTAAAATTCGAGTCAGAGTTGATGTATGTGATCAGTTTTGCTAGACCTCAGACACTCATCAGAGGCTACGTGTAAATTTATATCCACACTCCAATTGCTCAACTTTCCTCTATTTACGACTTTTAGCATCACTATTGAGAGAATGTGGAAATACTGATCGAACATCGCAGCTGAGCTTTTCACTTCCAAGGGCTTCTATCTTAGTGTTCCACAGCTGTTTTGCTTCTTCACAATTTTGGCAGAGTAGAGGAGTAATTAATCATTTTAGTTATGTTCACGCATCATACTTCTATCCGCGTCCTCGACCAACTCCATCATAGTGCCATTTTTAACCGTGTTTATAGCGTAGCATCAACAACTTGCTTTTCTGTGTAAAAATCCAATCATACAGTTTTCGAATCATGTATAAAAGGAAAGCAAGACTCGTAGACTCTGTCAGATGGAGGTCAACAGGTAGTTTTGTATGGATTCGCGAGTATGCAAGGTAACCTAACTAAAACAGCTTCAAAGAGCAGCCTGCGGGAAATCTTGAGTGTTTTACAAGTGCCGAAGATGCGGAGTAAAAGTGATGAAAATACACAAAAGGACGTAATTATCACAGTCAGATACTTTGATGGTTGGCCCTCCTGCTTAGTACCAACTTATCCCCAGTTTCTTAAGTGTGTGAATTTTGATAAAACTCAATTTCCAATTAGTACCTTCGCGACGCTGATGTCAGGTGTCAGAACTGTTAAGGAGCATACAAGCAGTTTTTTTATTTAGGCTCACCTTGATTTTATGACAGGTTTCGGTTGATCTTGTTTTGATGCCTTCCAGAACTTCTCGAATTACTCTGTCACCCTTACATAACATCCATTCGAAACATTTATTTGCTTCCACCTCAATAACATCGGTGGAGCGGTCTTCCAGACAAGGTTTACAGTCTGATACCTTATACGAAATTATTAACGAGAGAGATAGTATTTGGAAGGAAGAGAAACTACTCAAGTCTCATGTGCTGTTTAAGAGATCTCTGCCTATGTACCTGAAGTTTTACCCTCAGTGGTAATCAAGACTTGAGTCTTCCACATTTTCTCGAATTCTTGGGTACCAATAAGTGCTGGCTTTGGCAATCAGAGAGAAGTAGAATGCATTGTGGGGAATTCTAGGATGGATGTAGCGGTGCCAGATTTGAGAAAGCAAACATTTTCCTTTGATGAGTAGAAACGCTACCCAAAGTTGTACACCAAAATGTTGGAGGTGGTCTAAAAGCCGTTCTTGTTCATTTGTTCATCCAAGCCTTAAGTGGCACTGTTCGGAGCCTTGTAAGCACCACCTTTCCACCCCGAATATGAGGGGCTAAAGATAACACAACTCAAACTCTTAGCCACTCGCTTGTCGTTGATACCTATGACCATTATTGCAAATTGTCGCCATTTTGGCTCTCCGAATGGAGAGTTTTACTGATCCACACAACAACAAATCCGTCCAAATTCCCAACTCAAGATGCATATACGCACCAATTACTACTCATGACTGCAACACGTCTTACCAAACGTCGAAGTTCTGTACTTGGGATGGTGCATGCAAGTTCACCTTTTCGGTAATGGTGAACACTGGGCATGAGTCATGAGAATGGGACGTTCGAATTGCATCTCCGCTTTTTGAGGACTAGCAATGTGGAAAGGGGTAACGCTTCTGCTGTCTAGGTTTATTGAGGAATGTTTTTTAGGACGCAACAATAGGCGATAAGGAGTGTATTTGATTAATGGAAGACTCATTCAGTGCTTCTCACTCCCGTTGACGTACGTAACAGGGTGAGGAGGGCATTCGAAAGTGGAGCCTAAATTTTTTGAAATCTTTAACTTTTATTGTTCTTAGGTGGGTTCTAGCACTGTTTATTCCATTGTATTCTTGTTGTTGTATTCAATGGAGGAAATTTGTTCAAGCAATCACCCAGTAACTAACTTAGGTTTCTCTCTTTGTCAGAACTTCCCTTTAAGGTAAATAATATGAGTATATATATGACTGTTTTTGCTGGGGCTGAACCTCTAGTATAAGCTAAGTTAAGTGAAGCCAATTCAGGTATCAGTCGAAATTATACATTCTGAACCCATGAAAGATTGAAATTGAGGCAGTAATACCTTTGGAGGCCAAATCAAAAGGGCCTTATGCTTGACAAATAGTTTCATACATCGCAATAAGGGATATGAATGAGCGGGTCTTCAACAGACATTAGGACTTAATTATCTACAACGGACTTTGGATGGGTGCGAACAAGACTATGGGGGCAAATGTGGAGGAGGATCGACTGTCGCTCCCAATTAGTCCGTTGTTCTACCAGCACATTATTTTTGCAGGTATGTAATATCAAAGTCACGGTTTTAGCTGCCATTTCACTGTTTGAATTTCCCTGTCATAGCTGCAGGACTTGGCAAGACACATTGAAATGAAGCTGTGGCCTAAGTCACCAGCTTCGGTCACGGTCAATTAGGTGGCCACATTGATCCTGAACCTTGCCAAAAGCCCCATCCCCTTCCAGATTGTTGCATGTATGTGGTTTACTCAAGTTTCGGAATGTTACACCCGAATAAAATACTTTTGGCCAAAAGTTTTCCACAGGGTCCTGACGTCAAAGCTTACCCTAATGGCAATATTCCATAAACAAGTAACCGAAGTTCATTTCCCATAGTGGAGTTGTGACAACCTTACGAACTGCGAAACATTTACGCTTAAATTTGCTAATAATAAATCTGCTTGCAAACGTTCGTGCAAACACTGGGTGTCCTTTCAAGATCCCTCAAACGAGCATTACAATGATCTGCCGCAAACCCAGTAATAACTTTTAAATCATCTGAGAGACGAAGCACCTGAATACGCCGCGCTTGGCTACAAAGACGCTTCACTCGACTGTTTATTCTAACTGCAGATGGAGGGAATGTCTTAACATTTAGGTCAGGTGCAGATTAGGCATTGGAGGTTGGTATATTTATTTTTCCATTGTAGCAATATCCCAGTTTGCGTACTTAATACATTGCTGTCTAGCTGTAGCCAAGGTACGGATACAGTTCCGCCACACGACTTTCATCTCTTATCAAGTGAACATCCGTAAAAATATGGAATGAAATCGTTGGTGCCAATTTCCTGTTGTTACTATTATCGCAGTCAAATAACTATTAAGTCACAACCCTGATTCGAAGTTTCGCAGGCCCATGACATGACTCAAATTATATCAAGAAAGAGCGGGCAAAGGAGGGACCACAGACGAGATCTGAATTACGGCCTATGTTAACACCACTTTGTAACCTGCAAGCTCGAATTCCTAATGGCATTTGTCACAAAATAAGCGGGTGGATAATTGAATAGATAATGAAATGAATTGCATCGCCTTCATGAAGCTATCTCGTATAATGGTGAATCATATTCCGCTGCTAGGGAGAGAAAAGAGGAGAATGGAATGCTAATCACTTCAATAAGACCATGAGTAATCGGGCTATACTATAAAGGGAGAACAGAATGACCAATAATAAGATAGAGTAACTTTTCTCATTCATTCGAAAAGATTAGCGTATTTAGCAAACCCATTTACGTGGGTCAAATGCTGTGTTACCAACATTGAGACAATAAACAGTACAAAGTTGAATCAGAAATCAGAATTATCCCCTTTTCTCAAAGATAAATAAGTAATGAAAGTGCAATGGGAGGAATGAACCAAAGTACAGTTAAAATTTTTAGTAAGGAGCGAACATTTCTAATTGTGATAAGTGAAAATTACATAAGCTTAATCGAA